ATAAATTCCTTGGCTGATTCTCCTGCTTTCTGATCTCTCTGTTCAAAATTATGTCTCCAAGCAATTATAGACATCTCTGGTTGGAAATGTTCCCTCAGTAAATTCTTCAAGTCTGTGTAAGTTACAGACTCTAGAGGAGCAGGGGCTGCCAAGTTCTCTGCAATCTCAAATACATCTTGACCACATACACAAAGCAGGGTTGCAGCCTTTAAGCCATCTTCTCTAATTTGATTTATTCTAAAGTAAGTCTCTGCTCTTGCCACGTAACTCTCCCACCTCTCTGGTCGACTTACATCAAATTCTGACAGCCTCCCAATCTTTGCCATCTTGCAACCTAATCAGGAAGGGGTCTCTCAGCCAGCTTACCTCCAGCGATGCTGTACTGGCAGGCCAAGTGCTGAGTCTTGACGCCTTCTTCCTTGCTCCAAGGACTCCTCAGGTAGTCTTACAGCCTTTCTTCAGCTTGCAAGATGGATCCCACCTTCGTCGCCAGTGTTAAGTCCTTGGTTAGGCAATGATAGAGAGGCAGACATGCTGTTGTAACAGGAACCTTCTTTATTTCTCCTCCGAACTCCTCAGACCAAAACGGAGGCTCGCAGGCCTCTTGCGACTCTCAAGGGCAACAGAAAATGTCCGGGTAAATTTGCTACTTCTTTCGCGCTCTAGGTGTCTTGCACATGCACGCAGGCTGGCGCCGGTTTGTCTGGCCCCGGGCAGCTTACAGCAGCCCGTTGCCATGACAATGTCTGAGCCTGCTGCCGCAGGCTCAGGACACAACACTAACTACTGTATAAAAGTAAATGTAATCCATTTTTCGGGGCTCCCCCTTTTCATAGGGAGGCTGCAGTTCATCAGAGTACTTTAATAAATTGCTTTTAAATGATCTTTCGATTTGGTTGCTTATTGGAAAAGATAAACCAAGGCAGAACCTAGGGCCAGATTTGGCCATCAGTATCTTTCTAACCTTTTTAAATTTCTTCTTCTGTACATTATTATTATTATTTTGTTTGAAATTCAATAAAATTTTGTGGGGAAAATAAATATTCGTGCTTTCTCTTTCTTCTACTTCTTTCCCAATTGTTGTGTTGCGCCAGGAGGAACTGTTCGAGCGTTTCTCGCCGTGCGCTGGCCCCCATCCTGGTGAGCGCCTCCTTGGTGAGCCTCACCATCCGTTCCACCCGTCCGTTGCTCTGCGGGCTGTAGGGCGCGATCAGCGTGTGACGGATGCCCAAGTTTGCCAGGAACTCCTCCATGTCCTTTGCGGTTAGTTGCGGCCC